GGGATTAAAGGTGTAAGCTTCCACCAGAGTGGCTCTGTTTCTCTTTTAGACTGAATCAATCTCATGTAGCCCAGGGTGGCCTTGAACTCCTGATCTTCCTGCTTCCTCCTCCCAAGTGCTGGGATTAAAGGTGTGTGCCACCACTGCCTGCCCTCTATGGTTAACTAGTGGCTTAGCTCCACCCTCTGATCTCCAGGCAAGCTTTGTTTGTTAGAGCATAGACAAAATATCACCACACATGACCACTGCAAAACCACCTCCTTGCTACAGAGGAGATAAAATGGGGTAACAGCCGTGTTAAAACAAGCTTACCACCAATGGCCATTATGAAATCACAGACTAAAACTGTAATGAGACACCAGCACATACCAATTAGACTGGCTAAAAGGCTAGAAATGAAAATTTCAACTCTTAACACCAAATGCTGTGATGAATTCAGAACCACGTGGGCTGAACCAAACACTTTGCTGTACAGTCCACTCATGCTGACAATGTAATACCTTCTGATGCTTATCTGACTGGCAGATGTAGATTAGAAGCAAGGAGGGAAGTAAAGACACACATGGTGAGGGCTCCATACGGCTTCCACCCACAACATACTCAGAGCAGCACTAATGAACAGCTGTGAAGGAAGAATCCCCAGTCCATGCCTTACAAATACACCAAATTTACCGGCATAGCAGCTGGTGAATTGCCCAGTGCCAACAGCTCTGAAGATAGATGTGTGTGTGTGTGTGTGTGTGTGTGTGTGTGTGTGTGTGTGTGTGTGTGTGTGTGTGTAGGAGCGAGGCATGGGGACAGCTCCAGGTGGGTACCATAACACAAGGGTCTCTTCTTGTGTCTAGCTCCTCAAAGCCCAGAATTCAGTGTGTTTCCTGGATGAGTAAGTGAATAGATGCTACATTCAGACCACCCAGGAGCCTCCCCCTGCAATCTTTAGTTCACCTAAGAGCCTCCCCTATCCCTAACACTCATACAGACCCAACAGTCTGTGAGGGACCTGGTTGAGGCAGGGTACCAGGAGTCGAAAGCCAGCCTGGGCTAGATAACAAGACCTTCACACACACACACACACACACACACACACACACACACACACACACACACACACAGCCGCCTTCCCCCCAAAAAACAGTGTTAGAATTGGTTAAATATCAAAGCATTTGATGATCATGTTTAAAGATTTTGTTTTAACACATTAAATTAGATAACAAAATAATTAAATAGGAAGACCCCAACTCTCATATTAGTTCAAGTCCAATACTGGTATTGTTTGTAAGTTTGTAAGATGAGGTAGGAAATGTTCTCTACCCAACTCTCTGTAGATCCCTGATGTTTGCCATCAGGCCTGTGCAGAGAGCAGAAGCTCCAGCTCCTTATGGTCTGTGCTTCCTCTTTTGTGAACTGGAGTTTCTGGGTCCTTTCCAGCTTCAGTGGGTTCTTGAGTACTTTCTCCTTGTGTGACCTTCTGTCTCTGGTCACTCTGGTCACAGGAGCCAGGAGCCCTTCTCAACACTGCTGTCCTAGGTGTGAGCAGATAGCCTGGGCACTCGAAGCAGACCCTCTTTTTGATACAAAATGTGAGGAAAGCTATCATGGAGACATGCTGGAAGTACAAAAATTGGTACAGAGCAGGGCAGCCTATGCATCCTCGTGCCCTCACATTCTTCTTTTCCTACTTAAACCCTAGTGCTGGCCATATCTCAGCATACTGGTTTCATGTAGGGGTCAACAAGATCATGACTCTCTAGTGGTCACAAACAACACGGAGTGATCAGTTCAAAAGGAGATCCAGGGACAATTTCACATGCCCTGGGTCCCACAGAGTAATAACTGGACATTGGAAATACAGAGGGATGATGCAAGCTCCTTTCCCTTTTGTGGGGATGCAAAGGGAGCCACAAGGTTTAATTACTACAGGAGCCATATCTCTGCATGTGGCAGGTGACTTGAGGGGTGACATGCTGGCCAGGCAACTGAGAGGTGATAGACTGACCAGATGACAGAGAGGTGACAAGATAACCAGGTGGTATCTTGGTGATATCATGGTGATCAAGTGTCTGAAGTGTGATAGGATGAAAAGGTGAGTGATGATGATTAAGGATGTGCAGATACCAAGCTGAGGTCATTGAGAGAGACTTGTGCTGAGTTTAACAGTGCACACTTTCCAGTAGGAAGCTCTTAAGGGACCTTGCATTTGGGGACCTCCTGCATTGTCCAACAACGCACTGGCTACATTGAATGACTGGGAGATCTCTGTATATCCTGGTGCCAGGGTGTTCATTCCCAACCAGGTTCCTCACAGACTGTTGTCAGATTCACTAACAGGTCAGGCACCCTGGGATGGCCAGTCAAGCTCTGACCAGACACACAGGCTAGAAGAAGGCCATAGCATAGACCTGGATTCCCAGCAGTGATATTTTCCTAATTTACTCAGCAGCCATACATGGCTGGCCCCCTATTCTGCTACCAATCAGGAGCCACAAGGGACCAATACATGGTCAATCATTCAGGTAGATAGAGCAAGCGCCTTGCTGAGTTGATTCACAGCCATCATGTAACAGGCCCCCAGACCTTAACATAACTGACTCCATAATGGAAATATTCAGGCCACACAACTCAGCCCTTAGCACCACTTACCAAAATGAAAACAAAGACCTAATTCATTTAGGTGAACTAAATCTTGCAGGGGGAGGTTCCTGGGTGGACTGAATCTAGCATCTATTCATTTACTCATTCAGCAAAGACACGGTGAACCCTGGGCTTTGTAGAGCTAGAAACTAGAAAAGACCCTTGTGTTTTGGTGCCACGTGGAGCTGTCCCTATGCCTCACTCCTGCACGTGTGTGTGTGTGTGTGTGTGTGTGTGTGTGTGTGTGTGTGTTCATGCTTCTGTCTTCAGAGCTGTTAGCATTGGGCAGTTCACCAGCTGTTATGCCAGTAAATTTGGTGTATTTGTAAAACGTGGGCTGGGGATTCTTTCCTTCCTGGGAAGTCTCTAAGTGTACTAACCTTGCTTTTTAGCTTCTGTAGTTTGTAGCTGTTATTGTTAACTGAAGTATGTCACCCCAGCACATGGTTTTTGTGTTTAAAAGTTCACCCTGAGAAAGGCTCAGGGCTACATTAGGATCCTCAATATTCAGTGTAGTTGCCGACCAGCTAATGGTGTCTTCCTATTGGATTAAATCCATGTCTGAGCCGTCTTCTCCGGTGGATACCCTACAACAACAAGAGCCACTAGTGGATGAAAATGTATGCCCTTCCTTGTCTGTGCCCTGTGTGTGTCAGCCAATCAGTGATGGCAAGTAGAGCTCTGGGCCATTGGACTATATTTTACTTTGGGGTGGTCTCATTACAGGGTGCTGGCAGACTTCTGGTCCAGAGAAGATGGCATTGACTCACCTCCTTCTCCTTTCTCTAAGCCCAATGATAAACCTCAGAAGTAACACAAGAGGCAGCCAAAGAGAAGACTCGTGTGTATTGACAAAGCCAGTAGGTTTAAGACTTGGGGCTGAGGAACAAAACAGAAGAGGAGCATCTGTACCCCATCACACATACCCTTTACCAAGAGAAGAGTCTTCAGAACCCATCTATTCACTGAGATCCCAATGTGAGGCGGTGGTGTGAGCTCATGGGCTCACCCATCTCCTGTGTGGAACAGGAGGCCTCCCAACTGCATCATGCTGCTGCTTCATTCCTTCACTGATTGTAGAACCAGTTTCTTCAAGCTTTCAGTACAGACTGAGGACCAGCAGCTCTCCAGTAATTCTCCAGTCCTTCAGAGGAACTGCTGAGATACCCAGCCTTGTGAACCAGCAACTACCAGAGTCTTGGCCTTTCTAGTGTGAGACAACCATTGTTGGACTACCCACATAAAATTGTATTCCTCTAGAGAACCCTGACTAACACACACACACACACACACACACACACACACACACACACACACGCTCACGCACACGCACACGTATACGCATGCACACGCACACTCACACACGCACACTGAGCAGCTTCAACAACATGTTTATTTTTCTCAGTACTGAAGCTGGAAGTTTTAGATCAACATTTTTACAAGAAAAATTCCTCTTAAGGCTTCTCTCCCTTTGGCCTACAGATGGAATCTTCTCCCCATGTCCTCATGTGGATGTCCTGAGTGTGTCTATGTCTGTGATGTTTAACCTCAGTTGTACATTTGAGATCTAGACTCACCTTGGAGATGGGCCTCTGAGCATGCCAGGGGGTGATTATCATGAGTAGGTTAGTTGAGTGAGAAAACCCACCCACTTTGAGTGGCACCATTCCATAGGCTGGGATCCTAGACTATACAGTAAGCTGAGAACATTCTTCATTTCTCACTCTGCTTCCTGACCAAAGGTGCAATGTGGCCAGCCATTGCACACTCCTGTAGCCATCATGACTTCCCCACCACAATAAACTGTAACCTCAAACTCTAAGACAAAATAAATCTTTCTTTAAGTTGTTTTGTCAGGATATTTTATAACAGCAATAGGAAAGTTATTTAGGCAGTGAGTGTCCCAATCTCCCCCTCTTTATGCATTAAAAAAACTTTATTACATTTATTTTTATGTGTATATGTGCATGCCCACTGCGGTATGAGTGTGCCACCATGCACAAGTGGGGGTCAAAGAACAACTTTTGAGAGTCAGTTCATTCTTTCCACAATGTGGGTCCTGGGGATCACACTCAGGCCATCAGGGTTAGTGCCAAGTGCCTTTGCCTGCTGAGCCATATCTCTGACCATCAGACTCTTTTTTTTTTTAAGGGCTTTTTTTTTCTACTTTTATTTGTATATTTGCATGAGGTCCATCAGACTCTTAATAAAGACAAATGAGAAACAAATGCTACAGATAGGATTCAGGAGCAGAGGGTGGGTCTTCCTCACTGACTGTGGCTCCCATGATACCCTACATGAAAAGTGGAAGTGCTTGTTCTCCAAGGGCCTTGACAGCTCTGATAACCTGTGGGTAGAAAGTTCCTCCTCTGTGGTCAGTCGCTCTCTGTCCTCATTCCTGGGCTCTCAGGGGGACGTCTTCTCAGTCCTGTGACGTGGAAGCCTATCACTCTCACCTAAGGACCCACTTCAGACTGATCAAGCCTCCTTTCTCTGACCACCCAGAGGAGCCCAGAACCTTCCACTGTGTGATGCCTTGGCCCCTGCTACTGTCCCTGCTCTGGGCAGGTGAGTAGGGATAGCGACAGGGCTGGTGGAACAGAACCAAGATAACTCTCATTTCTTTGCAGGGTGCCTGGCTAAGACGGAGGATTATGAGCTCTTGGTGACTAATTCAGTGATGGTACAGGAGGGTCTCTGCGTCTTTGTGTCCTGCCAAGTCCGTTACCCCCCTTCCAGTAGTACTGTCTTTGGCTACTGGTTCCAGGAGGGGGCCAATCTAAACCGCGACTCTCCAGTGGCTACAAATGACCCAAATCGATCAGTACAGAAGGAAGCTCAAGGTCGATTCCATCTCATGGGGAGACCAAACACCCAAAATTGCTCCCTGGAGATCAGAGACGCAAAGAGAAGTGACACACAAGTGTACTTCTTCAGGCTGGATGGAGCCGGAAATGTGAAATACAGTTTTGGGAATACGCTCTCTGTGCGTGTGACAGGTATGTGATGAGATATGTGTGCAGGTCCTTATTCCAAAGCCTCTGGGTGCCCTTAGACTAAATAATGAGGTTGGTGGGGGGCGGGGGGAGAAGCCTGGCTTGAAGTAGAGTCACACATAGTGATCCCCACCATGTCTTGTGTCCCTATCTCTCTCTGTCCAGCTCTGACTGAGACCCCCAACTTCCAAGTCATACCTACCCTGGTGTCTGGCACTTCCACCCAACTGATCTGTTCTCTGCCCTGGGCTTGTGAGCAGGGGACACCCCCCATCTTTTCCTGGATGTCACCTGCCCTTACCTCCCTGGGCCCCAGGACCACCCTCTCCTCAGAGCTGAACCTCATACCCAGGCCCCAGGACCATGGCACCAACATCACCTGTCAGGTGACCTTCCCTGGTGTTGGTGTTACAGTAGAGAGGACTGAACAGCTCGTTGTCACCTGTGAGTGCCAGGGAAGGATACCTGGGTCCCTGGGGAAGAGATATTAAGGGTGTGGGATGGAGGTGGTAGAACTGGTTGGTGGATCCTGAAAGCCAGGAGTGTGGGAGAAGAAAAGAGCCCTGGGGTGAAATGCCAGCAGCCACCTCCTCTCTGAAAAGAGAATGACGCTATCTGTCTGCCCAGATGCTCCACAGAAGCTGATCATCAGGGCGTCCTGGGGAGACGACACAGGTAGGGGGAACCTCTCCTCCCTGGGGTGGGTGTAGGGACTGCTGCCCACAGAGATAAGCAGATGTTCTGGAGCTCAGGCGGGAAGAGGTTCAGGATGGGGAAGGGGGTGATATGGCATCCACACTCACCGCTCACCCACACGCTGTACTCTACCCCAAATGCCCATGGCTTCTGTCTTTCTCAAGACACAGGTGGCAGCCTCCAGTGCCAGGACTGTCTTCATTCCCAGGCTGCCCTCACTCCCCTTAGCACCCGAGTCTGGCCTGTTTCCCAGCTCCCTTCCTCTCTGTGAGGTGATTTTTGTCAAATGTAGTGTGAGACGTGTTTTATTCTGCCTCAACCTCTGTTATATGATAGAGGGAGTGACTTACACAGCAGAAACAGGCTCCTTAACTCTGAAGGACAGGAGCTCCAGTTCCAGGTGCCAGCTCCTGGGGAGGGCACCCTGCCTGTGCTACTGATGGTCTTCTCTCTACTCCTCTCTTTAAACAGCAGCAACAGACTACACAAGCACTCTGCTATCTTCTTATAGCCCCATTAATTCCACCATCGACACCTTTATCCTATGATCTCATTTACCGTAATTACCTCCCAAACATCTCCATTATATTGGTGGTTGGGGCTCCAATATATGGATTTTAATGCAATGTAATTCTGACCATATAAAAAATTAATACTAAAAGCTCTTGGTGTCTAATGTTCTCCTGTCTCAGTTGATCATACACAGATAGTGTTGCATGCACATTTAAACACACACACACACACACACCAGGTGGGAGGAGAAACACATACCTTCTTCACACACTACTTTGCAACTTTATCATTTTTTTCTTTCTTTCTTATTTACTTATTTATATAGGATGGAACTATATCACTAAGCTACACCTTAGACCCTTTGTTAATGAGATTACTAAAGAAATTAACTCTCCCCAAAAGCCAAGGCCATAAACTGAACTCAAAGTTACAAGAAACCTGCTCTTTGGTGATTGCAGAAGCAAAGCAGCTGATCCTGACCCTAGACACTCAGTGGTTGCAAAAAAAGAAAACAGACCCCGACAGTTTCAGAACCAGCTTGTCTATGAGGAAGCAGCTAACTTCCTCATTCTGCTCCTAATCCTCCTCTCTTCCCATTTCCTGTCCTCAAAACCCCAGCTTGAAGCACATAACCTGCACTGTCCTGAACTCTGATCATTGTATTTCTGAGTCCTGATCCTTGATCATGGTGTAACCCGATCTGGAGATGCCCTCTGGCATTGAATAAAGCCTACCTTAGGTGTTCCAGGTTGTCTAAAGTCTCACCTCTTGCTTCCTCTACAAACTTAACTCTTAATTATCCTTATGGTTTCCTTCATGATCAAAACCCACACTGTCATGACACATGTGTCAGTCAATGGCAAGTAACTGAATTAATTTTTTCCCTTCAAACTTAGTTTTCTTGGAGACTTCCTCCTTCACACATATATGTAACTCTATGGTTTTCTAATGATAGGATAAAGTGTTTACCGTCTTCTCTCTTGACAGAAAACTGGCATTCCTTGACTTTTATTCAATAAGTGACTTACATGAAAACTCTACATTTGTGACCATGTCCACAAAATCATTTCCTAAGGAAGAAAATTCCAGAACAAAGGATCATTTGTATTTCACACACACTGCCAAATTGCACACCATGGACTTTGTCTTATTCATATCCCCAGGAACAATGTTTTTCTCTCTTTACAACACACCCCGCTCCCTCATGTCACAAATGAAGTCACTGTAGTTTTCATTCACGTTATTCTCTCAAGAAACTGAGTCTCTCTTACAGTGTTTAAGTATTACTTATGGGCTGTGGGTGTGACTCAGTTGGCAGAAGCTGTCCCAGTGTGCAGGAAACCTTGGGCAGGATCCCCAGCACTGCATAAACCTAGCATGGTAATTGCATTCCTATAACCCAAACACTTGAGAGGCAGAAGCAGGAGTCTTGGAAATTCACTCACCCTCATCTCCATAGTAAGTCTGAAGTTGCCCGAGGTATATGAGACCCTCTCTCATAAATAATAATAATAATAATATCAATAAGTTGTATTTATTGGTCTGCGATAATTTCCAAAGTCATCTGAAGAGAGTTTTTTTTGCCAGATGAAGGGACTTTTTAGTTTTCTTTCAGCTAGCATAGGGTGATTTTGTCTCACCGTGGGCAGAACACTGTGGCATTGGCTCCGCTGTTCTTCACATCCTCCCTCAGCCTTCCTCCTCCTGGAAGACCTCCTTGTCCTGATAATCTCCCTGGGCTTTTAAGACAAGTCCACCATAAAACTCACCACCATACTGTGCCACCTGCTTTGGGCACCTGCCCCCGGGACTGTGAGCTCCTCTGACACAGTTGAGTTAGGCAGGCCTTAGTGAGATGCTCTTGAGAGACAGAAGGGTAAACTCTCCAGGGCAAGTAAGGCAGAGAAGAATGAAACCCAAGGTGGTTCTGATGACCTCACACTTCTAAGAGATGCTCTCTGTCTTCACTCTTTATGGGGTGAGGCCATCAGCCCGCAGAAGAGAAAAGACAGAGGTGGGAAAAGGAGAAGAAAGGCAAAGCCTTCTGCGACCCCCTCGGCCTTCTCTCTGCTTCCACAGAACCTCAAGTCCTGCACAGTGGCTCATCTCTGCATATTCAAGAAGGTGAGTCCCTGAGCCTGGTCTGTGTGGCCGACAGCAACCCCCCTGCTGTGCTGAGCTGGGAGCGCCTGACCGAGAGGCCCCTCCAGCTCTCTACCGAGGAACTGCAGATGCCGAGGGTGGAGTTGGAGGACCATGGAAAATACGTCTGCCGAGCTCAGAACAATCTGGGTGCTCAGGAGGCCTCTGTGAACCTCAGCGTAAGGAGTGAGTTCGAAGATAATGGGCGTGTGGCACTGTGATCACAATCTGGGGAGCCCCTCTGATGCCTCTCTTCGTGTTCCACTCCCCAGGCCTTCTACAGCTGCTGGCACCCTCCTGCTCCTGGGAAGCTGAGGGGCTGCACTGCAGCTGCTCCTGCAGAGCCTGGCCCACCCCGTCCCTGCGCTGGCGGCTGGGGGAGGGGCTGCTGGAGGGGAACAGCAGCAATGTCTCCTTCAGGGTCACCTCCAGCTCCACAGGACCATGGGCCAACAGCAACCTGAGCCTCAGCATGGAGTTCAGTGCCAGCCACAGACTCAGCTGTGAGGCTTGGAATGACAATGGGGTTCAGAGTGCCACTATCTTACTGCTGCCGGGTCAAGAGGTCACAAAGGGTAATGTGTGGGGGAAGGGGTGACTTCTGTCTGGATTGTACAAGACATTGGAAGTGAACAAATTAGGGCTGGCTCGGTTAAACTGGGGCTAACGTTCGTGGTTTCCTACTGTTGGATTGTAGGAGGTCTGGGGACAGGAGGCTGTAGTCACATTCACCCATGGGGAAGTAGGGACCTAAACCAGAGTTGGAATGGGCATTCTTACAAATAATGGACTAAAGAAGGTTGGATGCTAAGATGACTGCTTGAGAGGATGAGTTTCCATCACACCAGCTCTTTCTTGTTAACAGACACATCAGAAACCAGTACAGGAGTGGTCCAAGGGGCCATCGGAGGAGCTGGTCTCATGGCCTTGCTTGCTCTCTGCTTCTGCCTCATCTACTTCATGTGAGTGGTGGCCCCATTTGGTGAAGGCTTCATGTAGTGATTGCAGACTGCTTAGAGAATCTCTAAAACTCAGCCCAGTAAGATAGTGACCCAGGGCCAGAGTTAGCAGAAGTCTCTTGCTACCTTGGCCAGGTGTAGAGTCTGTTCAAATCATGTAGTCCCACCTATGAGGATCTTTAATCCACAGAATAGCCCCATCCCAAGCCTCTGTACCTGGTCTTCCCTGGTCCGAAAATCCATCCAGCAGAGATGGGGAAAACAAACAAACAAACAAACAAACAACAACAACAACAACAACAAAAAAGAAAACTGATCTCTTTCTCCAGAATGAAGTTCCTCAGGAAGAAGTCAGCCCTGAAAGTAGCAAGCGTGGAAGACAACCATCCTGCCAAGAGCCCTGGCTCCATCATAAATGGTTCAAGCATGACTTCATCCAGAGTTTCTTTAAGATACCCCAACCAGGTACCCAGCACGTCAATACTGAGCTTCTGTTTCCCCAAATGCCTCTCCAACATTCAACTTTCCTTCTCCAGCTGCAGGCTGGGGACCTGGCATTTGTCCCTACCTCCATCTCCTGCTTCAGGTATTTACCCAGGCCTGCCTACTGTTCTTGTCAGCAAAGCTCTTCCCAGGTAGCTACTTCCTGTCAAGTCTTCACAGCCTTTCCCTGGGCCTCAGCACTGGCTTCATCAGCCCATAGTAAACTTTCATGAAGGAATTCCAAACAGCTGTTGAGTTCTGCTTGGTCCTTACAGTCCAAATACATGTTGTTAAACAGAAATAGAATGCCACGTGGGGCATGGTGAAGCGTGGTGCAGCGTGGTGGGGCGTGGTGGGGCGTGGTGGGGCAGACCTATAATCCCAGCATTCAGGAGGCTGAGGCAGGAGGATGGGGAGTACAAGGCCAGCATGAACTACCAAGTGAGCTGAGGGCCTACTAGGGTAACTTATGAGATCCGAATAAAATCAAAAGTGGAAAGAGCTAGGAATGTGGCTCAGCAGTAGAGAACTTGCCTTGCATCCATCAGTGAGAAACAGAGGATGTGGCTTAGAAGTGGAATGCCTGCATAGAATCTACCAGTGATGGACGGGCTGGGGTTGTAGCTGAAGGGCAGGGCACTCGGTTAGAACCAGCTGGGACTGGGGTGTGGCTCAGAGGAGGAATGCTTGCCCAGAATTTTAACAGTGAGGCACTTGGGATGCAGCCCACTCATAGTTTTCTAGCATGTGTGAGACCCTGGGTTCCATCCCCAGTAGGGAAAGAGAGAAAGGGGAGGAGGAAGAATAGATACAGACAGACAGACAGACAGAGAGAAGAAAGACACAGACAGAGACAGAAACACCAGGAGGTTGGACTTTGGTGGCACATGCCTATATTCCTGGCACTTGAGAAGCATGAGAAAAGAAAATGTAAAGTTTGAGGCCATCTTGGGCTACATGGGGAATTGCAGGAGAGTCTGGGCTTCTTAGAGACTTAGTTTCAAGATTAAAAAAGAAAAAGAAAAGAAATAGACTGTTGGTCACATGTATAACATAAAATCTTCATTAGTCACATTACAAGCAGAAGCACATAACATCAAATTTCATTCCATACAACACAACCAAGTGACTGTGGTTCTAATTGTTATCAATAACCAAATGTAAAAATTATTGACACACTCACATTCTTAATTTGGGGTACTCAGCCTTTCAGATCTAGTGTATACTTTGTTCTCACAGCACATCTCCCCTGAAGATTCCCTTACATTACATGTACTACATGTGACTCACACCATATTTAACATCAAGACCTACAGAATGAAGTCCAGACTCCATGGGCAGATGCTTCCTGATCTCTCCTTCAATGGAGCCTGTACATCTTCCATGTATCCATTAAAATATCCCTGCCTCTGACAGGCAAACCATCACCTGCCTCTTGAAATCTCAGGCTTGTCCCTGCTCTTCCCACATACTGTGAGCCCCACCAGGGCAGAGTGGGTCTATTCCTAGCTTCTTGAGAGCTCACTGTAACTCCTTGCTTCTGCCCAACAGATTACAATTAGATAAAGTTTTCATTTTGTTTTCCAAATTTCACTTATGTACATTTTGGGGTCCCTGTGTAGCCCAGGCTGTTCTGGAACTCACTGTGGAGCCAGAGCTTGCCCCAGACACAGTCGTCCTTCTATAGTCTCCCAAGTGATGGGATTGCTGGCATTTACACCTGGCTTTCCCTGCATTTGTTTTTGACAGTCTTTTGTGAGTTACTTAACCTGGACCAGACTATGTTCACATCCATAAAGTGGGAAAGAAGGGGGTTGTGAAGACTCGGTGAGACCCTTAAAATTAGCTGGGAACGGGGTGGAGCTATTGTTGGAGCCCTTGCCTACTCTGTGCAAAGTCCTGGCTTGATCGCAAGTGCTGTGTATGTAGGTGTATGTGCGCATGGGCACCCACTGGGAGATTGTAGAGGAGGGGTGTAGACACGTGTTCATCTTCATGTTCACACATCACTAAAGTTAAGGTGAGTGAGTGAAAGCATGGAGCGAACACTCAGGAAAAGCAGACAAGTGAACAAACGCCCGGCTAAGCCCCAAGTGCCTTTGGTAATTCTTGCCACCGTCTGCAAAGTCTTCACTGTTGCCCTTCTCTAATTGGGTTCCAGGGTCACCTGAATGCATCAGGGTCACCGAACCAGAAAGAGAAGCCACCTCTCTCCGCAGCCCCACACACCCTGGAGGATGAGCCTGAACTCCACTATGCCTCCCTCTCCTTCCAAGGCCTGGCGCCCCGGCGTCCTCAGAACACGGAGCCCATCAAGTCTGATTACGCGGAGCTCAAGCTCCGCAAGTGCTGACCCTCCGTGCTCTCGCGCCCCGGCACTGGCTGGAGTCCGGAAAGGACAGCGCGTGTTAGGGCAGATTCTGAGACGGGTGCCCTCCAGACCAAAGGTTCTGAAGGAGAAGGCATGAGGGCGACAGGACTCCTGGGTTCAAGTCCAGGTTCAGTGTTATTCCCACAGAAGCCACCTTTCCTCACTGTGCCCTCTCTTCCTCCTCTGTAAAGTGGGGTCCTATTCATGTGGTGTGACAAGGAGAAACCCCACAGTGTTCACGGTCTGTTGCTTGTGTTGCCTATGTCGCCTCAGCAGTGGGAGGAACATTCTGACTCTATTACATACTTGAATTTTACTTGTACATTTTAAAGAACATATGTTAATTCTTAAAGTGATACTGTTTTGAAGTGTGACTGTGTGGTAGCTACATGTACCTCAGACTGGACTTAGACTGAATGTTCTGCAAGCTCTGAAAGATCACACAGATGCCAGCCCAGACTACTGTACCAAGAAAAACTATCAATTACAAGGAATAAAACTAAGATCTTCCACAAATCAATACAAGTGGCAGACAATCCAATACAAAACGGTATATGGGAGTGGCCAGCAAACATACAGAAAGATGATCAATCCGTGCTTGTCAATGAAAGATAAATAAATATGATTCAACTGCCAAATTGTGCAGCAATTCTGCTCACAACTGCAGACCTGAAAACACAAGATACAGCTGTTCATCAGACTTACACAAGTGTGTTGTTCGTGGAAGGATTGGGGATGAAGGTCAGTGGCAGAGGGGTTGCCTGCTAGGTCTGAGACCCTAATCTGTTTGATCTCGGGTCCTATAAAAGCAATGGAATGTACCCAAATGTCCACCAGAAGAAAGCGAGGCAAACAAATTACACCATGTTTATGGGATGTAGAAATAGAATCTCATGCATGTGTGACAGAATGTAACATGGATGGACAGAATCCAGACACATAGTGTTAGGTCCTTGGCATGAGGTTTAGAAAAAAAGAGAACTCATCTTTGGCATTAGAACTGGATTCTTTTTCCCTCTTTTATTGGAAATAGATTCTTTTTTGTTTTTTGAAAAAATGTATACATTTATTAAAAATTTGAAATTACTTAAAAAAATGTGCTACTTTACACTATAAATTCAGAAGTCCTGGGAATTGGGCACAGAAAGATTTAGGTTTCCAAGGAGTCCTTAAGGTTTCCTATTGGCATTCCTCATTGCTCTTGGGGTTTGGCTCTTTGGGAGTCTCTGGCTTGGAAACCTGGTTATTGAACAGCAGAAATAGATTCTTTTGTCATACAATGTATCCCGACTACAGTTACTGCTCCCTCTATTCCTCTCAGTTCCTCCTAACCCCTCTTCCCATCCAGATCCACTCCATCTCTGTCTTTCATTAGAAAAGAACAGGCTTCTAAGAGACAACAGCAAAACAGGACAAAATAAAATGCAATAAGATAAAACAAAAACCATCACCAAATGTTGGAGAAGGCAAACCAACAGAAGGCACAAAAATCAGACCCACTCATTCACACACTCAGGAGTTCTATAAAAAGACTAAACTGAAATCTATAGTACATCTGCAGAGGACCTGGTGCAGACCCCTGTAGGCCCTGTGCTTGCTGCTTCAGTCTCTGTGAAGTTACATGAGATTTGCTCAGTTGATTTAGAGGGCCTTCTTCTCCTGGTATCCTCCATCCACCCTGGCTTTTATGTTCTTCCCACCTCCTCTTCCACAGGATTCACTGAGATCTGAGGAAGAAATTTGATGGAGATATCCCATTTAGAGCTGTTTGTTTCAAAGTCTCTCCTTCTCTGCATACTGTTTGGCTGTGGGTCTCTGCATCTGTTCCTGTCTTCTACAAGAGGAAGATGATGGCTGAATAAGGCACTGATCTATGCATATAGCAGAATATCATTAGGAGTCATTTTTCACCATTTTTAAAGACCAGTAGTATTTGGTTTTTACCCTAGGTCTCTAGGCTATCTATTCTCTGGTTCTTGATCACCCAGGCAATGTCAAGTGTAAGTTTTATCTTGTGGCATGGGCCTTAAGTCAAATCAGATGTTGATTGGTTACTCCTGCAATTGTGTCAGTTTCCCTAGCGTATTTTGCAGGTAGGAGAGCATTGTAAGGCAAAGGGTTTGTGACTGAGTTGGTGTTTATGTTTCTCTTTTGATAGCCTGCAGAGTACCTTCCTATACCAAAGACACTAGAACAAAGGAGTGAAAGTTCTATGTAGGCACCAGCTCAACCGCTCCATGTTCAATGAGTTGTGTAGATGTTGTCTTCAACAATGGGGCCTGTTGCCAGTTTGGGGGGAACAACCTATTGTCTTGGCAAGAGTCTGAGTTGTTTGGGGATTTTCATGGGACCCCTTTGACCAACAACTCAATTGGATGCAACCCAGTCCTGGTACTGGGAGCTTCATTTGATGACAAGACATGGCCAGGTAGGACTCTGTCTCCCCATTCTTTGGAGACCTCATTAGGATTGCCTTCATATATTTGAAGAAGTTTCTACTGCTAGGTTTCTTTGCCGCCCCTCAGTTCTAGTTGTCTCTCCCTACTGATTTTTGTGAGTTAATTTTGTATCCAGCCACTTTGCTGAAAAGGTTTATCAGCTATAGGAGTTCTCCAGTGGAATGTTTAGGGTCACTTATGTATTCTATCATATTATCTGTAAATAAAAATACTTTGACTTCTTCCTTTCCAATCTGTATGCCCTTGATCTCCTTCAGTTGTCTTATTGCTCTAGCTAAGACTTCAAGTACTATATTGCATATGTGTGAAGAGTGTGGACCACCTTGTCTTGTTCCTGATTTGGGTAGAATTAATTTCAGTTTCTCTCCATTTAAGTTAATGCAGCTATGGGCTTGTTGTAAACTGTCTTTATTATGTTTAGGTATGTCCCTTGTATCTCTAATCTCCCCAGGACTTTATCATAAAGGAATATTGGATTTTGACATGAGATGATCATGTGGTTTTTACTTTCATTTTGTTTATATGATGATTACATTTATTGATTTTTATATATTAAACCATCCCCACATCTTTGGGATGAAGCCTACTTGATTGTGGTAGATGATCTTTTTGATGTGTTCTTAGAGTCAGTTTGCAAGTATTTTATTGAATATTTTTGTGTCTATGTTCATAAGGGAAATTGGTCTGTAATTCTCTTTGTTGGGTCTTTATGTGTATTAGGGTAACTGCAGCTTCATAAAATGAATTGGCTGATGTTCCTTCTGTTTCTATTTTGTGGAATAATTCAATGAATATTGGCATGAACTCTGAAAATCTTATATAATTCTGGGCTAAAAGCATCTGGCCCTGGGCTTTTTTTTGGTTGCGAGATTTTAATGACTGCTTCTATTTCACTAGGGGTTACAGTTCTGTTTAAGTTGCTTATCTCATCTGGACTTAACTTTGACAAGTATCTAAGAAATTATCCATTTCTTTTAGATTTCCCAATTTGTTGGAGTAAAAGTATTGTCCTTTTTAAAATTGTTGCTGCCTTTTAAGGCAGGGCTGTCCGAAACAGTAACTGCAACTCTGCTGCTCCCAGCCGTGGTTAGGACGGAAGTCTGCTCCCTCAGGCACCGACTGTTTCAAAGCTACCAAGGGAACTTAACTAAATCTCTGTGCCTCTAAAGAGCTCAAGATTCAAAGGTTAAGGGGGAATTTTGCTCTTCAGAGAGGTTGAATAGCAATAGCTCACCTCCTCTCCTTGCTCAAATCCTCCAAAAAGCCCTCCTGCTTCTCCTTACCCCTCCTTAAAAATCCTCCTCCACCTGGCTCATCCCTACCACTTCCTGTCAGCTAGTTGCTGACGCAGCCTCCTGCTCATAGGTGAATTTTATTTAATCAAACATCTTTGCATCGTTAAACAAATGTTCCAGAGCATAAACAAAAGTAACACACCTTAAAATGATATTCTATAACATAAAAGTTATTAAAGTGTGTTTTTATGATTCTCTGGATTTTCCCATGTCTATTGCTGTGTCTCCTTTTCATTTTTGATTTTATTAAGTTGGATATGCTCTCTCTCTCCACCTTTCAGTTAGTTTGGATAAGAGTTTGTCTATTTTGTTGATTTTTCTCAAAAAACCACCTTCATCCTGTCCCATAAGTCTGGGTATGTTGTGTCTTCATTTTCATTCAATTCTAGAAAGCCTTTAATTTCTTTCTTAATTTCATTTGTGACCCATTTTCATTCAGTAGAGAGTTGTTCAGTTTCTATTAGCTTGTAAGCTTCCTGTTGTTTCTATCCAGCTTTAATCCATGGTGGTCTGATAAGATGCAAGGAGTTATTTCAATTTTTTTTTTGTATCTGTTCAGACTTGCTTTATGTCTGAGTATGTGGTCAATTTTGGAGAAAGTTCCATGAGTTGCAGAGAAGGTATATTCTTTTGTGTTTGGGAAAAATATTTTATAAATATCTGTTAGATTGATTTGGTTTTTAATGTCTGTCAGTTCCAGCATTTCTCTGTTCAGTTTTTATCTGTATGTCCTGTCCATTGGTGAGAGTGGGGTATTGAACTCTCCCACTATCAGTGCGTGTGGGTCAATATGTGATGTAAGATGTATTAGAGTTTCTTTTACACACTTGGGTGCCCTTGTGTTTGGTGCATAAATTCTAAGAATTGCAATGTCCTCTTGGTGGCTTTTTGTTTGTTTGTTTGTTTGTTTGTTTTTCCTTTTATGAGTATGTAATGTCCTTTACTATCTCTTCTGATTAGTATTGGTTTGAAGTTTATTTTATCAGATATAAAATGGCTACACCACCTTGTTTCTTAGGTTCATTTGCTTGGAATATATTTTACCAATCCTTTACCCTGAGGTAATGCCTACCTTGATATTGAGTATGTTTCTTGGATGCAGTAGAAGGATGGATCCTGTTTTCGCATCCATTCTGTTAGTCTACTTTCTTCATTGGGGAATTGGGACCATTAATATTGAGAGGTATCAATGACCAATTGATTGTTGATTGCTATTATTTTGTTGGTGGTGTTCCTAGTGGCGGCAGCACTGGTGGCGATGGTGTGTGTGTATACACACTCACATGCTTCCCTTCTATTGGTTTTGCTGATGTGAGATTATTTATTTCCTGTGTTTTCATGGGTGTAATTAACCTCTTTAGGTTGGAGTTTTCCTTCTAGCACTTTCTATAGAGTTGGATTTGTAGATAGATATTGTGTAAGTTTGACTTTATCATGGAATATCTTTTTTCTCCATCTGTGGTGATTGAGAGATTTACTGGGCATAGTAGTCTGGGTTGGTATCTGTGGTCTCTCATAGTCTGCAGCACATCTGATCAGGCAGTTCTGGCTCCGTTTGTTACTTGGTCTTTTCCCCTTGCAGTTTTTAATATTCTTTC